GGCAGAGCGAGACTCCATCTCAGGAAAAAAAAAAAAAATGCCAGTAGCTTCCATTTCAGAAGAAGAACATGCTGAATCTAGAACTATGACTCATCACAGCTGGGTGCTTAAACTTAGTGCTCTTTTAGTTTAATTTCTGGTTTTCAAGGTGGGGAAATTAGACCCAGAGAGGGGACAGGTCCTGCATGCAGAGTCGGGGGCCAGGCAGAAGCCCGAATGCTAGCTCTTAACGTCCCTGCTTCGGGTTTCTTTCTGCACTACCAGGCAGTGGAGGAGGAAGCCAGGATCTGAAGCCATTTGCTCTTTGTGATGTCATCAAGCCTCTGAAGCCGCCCTCTAAACAGCCAGGACCTGTGGGCAGCTGCAGCTGGAAGCCGAGAGCCTTGCAAAATCAAAAGGGAAACGAAGGCAGGGCCCACTCTCCCCTGCACGGTTGGAGGGGAGGCTCCGTGTGGAGGCTGCGGATATCATTCCTGTTTGGCTGTGAAATACCCTTTTCTTTGCATCTGCTTTATTTTACTTTTTCCCAAATAGATTTGGCCTGAGCTGTTTTTTTTCTTTTTTTTCTTTGTGCATTAGACCGTTGGGGGAAGGAACTGAGGTGGAGAGGTCAGAGAGGTAGCCTGAGATGGACCAGGAAGTTCCCGAGATTTAACATTTGGCCCTGAATCATGGACACGTTTAAGCCACATGTGGACAACGCAGGTTGGTGGTCAGGGCCCACTCCCATGGACTAATGATGCCCAGGCCGGAGGATGCGCAGGCCGGCCCTGCAGGGAGGAAGAGAAAGGAAGAGGAATGATTTGGCGAACACTCACACAAGAGACAGAAGGAAGTGGGAGGGTTTATTCAGCAGCAGGCTCACATTTTGCTGGGTGGTGTGGTAAGAGAAGAGGGTCCGGGCCAGATCTTCTGTTGGAGGAGGGGGAGAAAACTATTTCTAGACTCTCTCCCCACTCAGTCCATCTCCTCCACCTCCTGCCAGCACAGTCTCCCTAAAGCGCACGCCTTTCTTCCCTCATTCATTTCTTTCTTTCTCTCTTTTTCTTTGGAGACAGGGTCTTGCTCTGTCTCCCAAGCTGGAGTGCAGTGGCGTGATCACTGCTCACTGTAGCCTCCAACTCCTGAGCTCAAGCCTCGGCCCTCCAAATAGCTGGGATGACCACACCCAGCTAATTTTTAATTTTTTTTTTTTTTTTTAGAAATGAGGTCTTGCTATGTTGCCCAGGCTGGTCTTGAACTCTTGGCCTCAAGTAATCCTCCTGCCTTGGCCTCCTGACTAGCTGGGACTATAGCCACATTCATTTCTTTTTCTTCTTCTTTTTTTTTTTTTTTCTTTTTTGAGATGCAGTCTGGCTCTGTTGCCCAGGCTGGAGTGCAGTGGTACGAGTTTGGCTCACTGTAGCCTCAGCCTCCTGGGTTCGAGCAATTCTCCTGCCTTAGCCTCCCCAGTGGCTGGGACTACAGGCATGTACCACCACCACCACCATGCCTGGCTAATTTTTGTATTTTTAGTAGAGACGGGGTTTCATCATGTTGGCCAGGCTGGTCTCAAACTCCTGACCTCAGGTGATCCACTCATCTCATTTTCCCGAAGTGTAGACTACAGGCATGAACCACCGCACCCAGCCACGTTCATTTATTTATTTCCTATGCTCTCTCTATGTACTTACCATGTGTCAGGTACTGTGCTGAGCACTGAGCAGCCAATTGTGATGATGAAGAAGACGAAATCCAACTCTGATCACTTTCTGCCATTGTTAAAATCTCTCACAGGCCTCCTCTTAATTTCAGAATAAAAATTTAACTCTTGGGGCTGCCATTCAGTGCCGTTCTGGCCCATGACTCTACCCCCAGCCCCTTACCCATCAACTAGACACCAGATACCTCAGATTGTTTGCCTGTCAATAAATATTTCTGGGTGTGGTGGTGTATGCCTGTAGTCCCAGCTACTCAGGAGGCTGAGGTGGGAGGATCACATGAGCCTAGGAATTGGAGGCTGCAGTGAGCTATGATCGTGCCACTGCACTCCAGCCTGGGCAATGTAGTGAGATCCCAATCTCACAAAAATAAGTACATAAATCAATAAATCCGGGAGGAACTTGCCTTTGAGTCTTGCTAACTGTACCTCTGCTTGCTCTCAAATCCTACAGTCCTTTAAAGGCTGGGTTGGGCTGGGTGCATGGCTCATGCCTGTAATCCCAGCACTTTGGGAGGCCAAGGTGGGTGAATCACGTGAGGTCAGGAGTTCGAGACCAGCCTGACCAGCCTCACCAGAACGTGGTGAAACCCCATCTCTACTGAAAATACAAAAAGTAGTTGGGCGTGGTGGTGGGTGCCTGTAATCCCAGCTACTTGGGAGGCTGAGGCAGAAGAATCAGTTGAACCCAGGAGGCAGAGGTTGTAGTGAGCCAAGATCACGCCACTGCATGGCAGCCTGGGTAACAGAGTGAGACTGCGTCTCAAAAAAACGCTGGGTTGGAAATGTTACCAAACTCCCTGGAGAAGCTTTTCAGAACCTCTTCCTTTGCAGCCTGGGAGAAGTTATTTTTTAAACAAAATATTTACAATGCTTAACACACTCCGAATTCCTTCAGGACAGGGGTCCTCCAGCATCTGGCATAGAGCCGGCAATATTCCCCCACGGGATCTCTTTCATTCCAGAGTCTCACGCACTCTTCATGTTTCTTATTCTATCTTTCACTTCTTATTTTTTTGTTGTTATTTAGTTTATATTTCATAATCACAAACTTAATTCTGCAATCTAGCCAGTCGTGGAAGGGAAGAAGAGAAACATGGAATGCAAAGGGTGCTGTAGCAAGAGCACAAAGATTACAGGATACAGGGAGCAAATACGGTGGATAGGTGCTCTCCTGAGCTACAGAGGGAATGATCTGGTGGTTAAGATAAAAAACAAGTCAACTTTATTAGAGTTGTCCACAGTCGGCAATGGTGATCTTCTTTTTTTCTTTCTTTCTTTCTTTTTTTTTTTAATCCCTTCACCCTAACATTCCTGAATAGGTGACCTTCTTTCTCATTGTTGTTTTTTTGAGATGGAGTTCTGCTCTTGTTGCCCAGGCTGGAGTGCAATGGTGCAATCTTGGCTCACCGCAACCTCTGCCTCTCCAGTTCCAGTGATTCTCCTGCTTCAGCCTCCCGAGTAGCTGGGACTACAGGCGTCCATCACCATGCCTGGCTAATTTTTGTATTTTTAGCAGAGCTGGGTTTTCACCACGTTGGCCAGGCTTGGTCTCAAACTCCTGACCTCAAGTGATCTGCCTGACTCTGCCTCCCAAAGTGCTAGGATTATAGGCATGAGACACTGTGCCTGGCCATTGCTGGTCTTGCCATTCCCGGACCCAAAGCACTCCATGGTCTCCACAGAATTCATGCTTTCTTTCACCTTGCCGAAGACCACCATGCCTGCCATCTAACCTCTCAGTCTGGGCAGTGCAGATGAAAAACTGGAAAGCGTTTGTGTTGGGTCCAGCATCTGCCATGGGCAAGATGCCAGGACCTGTATGCTTCAGAATGAGGTCTGGTCATCGAATTTCTCGCTGTAGAGGGACTCGTCACCAGTGCCATTACAGTGTGGGAAGTCATCACCCTGGCACATAAACCCTGGAATAATTCTGTGAAAGCAGGAACCCTTATAACTAAATCCTTTCTCTCTAGTGCTCAGAGAACGCAAGGTTTCTGCTGTCTTTGCAACCTTGTCTGCAAACAGCTCTGATATGTTAACATTGCTTTACGGTTTAGATGAGAAGTCACTTCTTTTTTTTTTAGATGGAGTCTTGCTCTATCCAAGATCGTGCAGCGGTGCAATCTTGGCTCACTGCAACCTCTCCTGCCTCAGCCTCCCGAGTAGCTGGGATTATAGGCGCCTGCCACCATGCTCGGTTAATTTTTGAACTTTTAGTAGAGACAGGGTTTGACTGTGTTGGTCAGGCTGGTCTTGAACTCCTGACCTCAGGTCATCCACCCTGCTTCAGCCTCCCTAAGTGCTGGGATTACAGGCGTGAGCCACCGTGCCTGGCCAAAGCTTACTTCTTATTGACTTCTGGCATATTCTACATATCTTCTTGGGCAGGGATTTTTGTCTGTTTTGCTCACTACTGGGCCTCGTGGCTTAGAATAGGGCTTGGAACACAGTAGCTTCTCACAGATAATTGTTGAATAAAGTAAATAAAATGTGCAGTCAAAACTATGGGGCCTGCAGGCACAGTCGCTCATGTCTGTAATCCCTGCGCTTTGGAAGGCCGAAGCAGGAGGATCGCTTGAGCCCAGGAGTTCGAGACCAGCCTGGGCAACAAAGCTAGACCCCTGTATGTACAAAAACCAAAACAAAGCAAAAAAATTATGTTATCTGCAAGCTATGTGGAATATTAAGAAAGGGAAGCATATGAACGAGACTATATCAGCGTGACGTCAATATGTATGTATGTCTTAGGAGGGGAGAGAAGGCTGGACAACCAGGCCTTAGACACAGCCCAGTTAGGCGAGGAGTAGGCTTCTGGTAGCTGAACTGAATCTTTAGTACTCCACCCTAGAGAGGAAGAAGGGGTTCTCCAGGGTCAGCCAGCAGACAGCTGCATCCTTTCTGGAAACCAACCAGTGTGGCCAGCCGGTATTTGTTTTCACCTAGTCAGGCCCAAGAACCTCAAGGTGGGGTGGGGGTGTTAGCGGAAGCTCACTGGGGGAGGAGGTGACAGTTCCCAGGGTCTGGCTCCTTAATTCAGCCATCCCGCGGGCAGGCACCACACTGTGAGTCTGGATCTGCAAAGGACGCGCCTGCTGTCCTTCCCACACCACAATCTACTACGTGATCTCGGAAACAGGGTCTAGGACTGAGGCCCCTGCCCCCTCCTCTCGTAATTTCCCGTAGAATTTGGGGCGGGGCGGTGAATCAGCACTCGCAGGGACTGATGCAGCCCTGATCCCCGCCAGGGGTCCCCAGCGGCCTCGGGATTCGAACCAATCCCACCCCACCCCCCGCCCGTCCGCCTGTGCCTGCGCGCTACGTCCGCTGGGAGTTGTAGTCTTGACCGCCCCTCTGTCCTTGGTCTCCCCAACGCCTCAGCCCCCTGCAGGTTGAACTACAACTCCCAGAGGCCCACGCGTCGGAGGCCTGGAGTGGCTGAGGGCTCAAGGGGGAGGGATAAGGGGGCGTCTGGAGAAGCTGGGGCGAGGGAACTGAGGAGTGAAGGGAATAAAAGAAAGCGTGGGGGCTCAGTGGGAAAGGACAGGGTGCCCGAAAGACGCGCAGTGAGCCGAGTTGGGGAGCGGTGAGCCCCAACTGCGGCCCGACCCGGGCGGGGCCTGGGCGGGGCTTGCGGGAGAGCGGGCGGGGACTAGCTGCGTCACGCCGCGTGGGCGGGGCCGCAGGGGGTTGTCCGATCGTGGCACGCACAGCAGCCGCAGCCGCCTCGCGCCTGGTCCCGCGGTCGCAGCTCCAGCCGCCTCCTCCGCGCAGCCGCCGCCTTAGCCCCTCGTTCGGTGGGTCGGTCCTGTCCGCCACTTGGGCTCCAGCCGCGCCCTCCAAGCCCTTCAGGCCACCCCAGTGTCCTTCTTTTTCTCCGGCCCGACCCAGCTCCGCGAAGATGGTGGACCGCGAGCAACTGGTGCAGAAAGCCCGGCTGGCCGAGCAGGCGGAGCGCTACGACGACATGGCCGCGGCCATGAAGAACGTGAGTATCTCCTCCCCTCCCCCGCCACTCCCTGCCCCTCCGGAGACGCGGTCCTGGGCGTGGAAGGCCCGGGGCTTCATCGCCTTGTCGCGATGGTGGGGTGACTGCCCCGTTTCGCTCACTGAGGGGCCTTGGGAGGGTCCCGAGAGGCGACGGGAACCCGGGCTGTGACGCGGCCTCTGCTGGCGTCCCCGGGGCCCCGCGGCGGTGCCTCTCAGGCCCTGCGCGGGCGCGGGCCGGGGCGGGGTCCCGCGGGGCTGGACTTGGGAGCGGGGTCTCCGGCCCCCGCGGCTCTGGGGGTGCAGGGGACCCTAGCGGGGAGCCGTGCGCATCCTTTGTGCCCCACTTCCCCCCTCCTCCCAGCCTGGGCGTGGGGGCGGGGGACCGCATGGATGCGGTTCCTCTTTCTCTCCCTGGTGTCTGGGCGGCGCCTTTCCCATTCACTCAGCAGGTCTCCCGGTTTTCCGCCTCCCGAGCCCCCCCAAAATCTTCCCCACCGTCTCTCCCGACAGATCCCTGAGAACCTTCCCAGGAACATCGTGTAGGGGGGTCTCTTGAAAACCTGAGCCCTGTGGTGCAAAATCGAAACCACCTTGCTCACGTTTTTCTTAACAAAAGGCTCCTCTTTCTCCAGTCCCTCAAAGCAAGTCCTCCGGCTTTTAGGAAGGGGGAACGTTTGTCTCGCTAGCGTTTTCATTGATCGTTCTCAGCATGTCATCTCCATCTTATCCCCTAATGTTTTTGTATCGAAAAGCGTAGGTATTGCCTGTAAAATAAAAGGTGGTGAATGTAGCCGACTGGTTCGATCTGTGACATATGCCGTTTCTTTTTTGCATACAGGCACGCGTCTGTTGAAATTCCTATAAGTTGGGGGAAAAATATTCTGTCTGATCTGATAGTGCAAACAAAGCGGTGGTGAGAGGCAGTATCAAGTCATTCCAGAAGATTCTGCATTTGTCATATTGCAGAGAGCCTAGACTGGGTGGAGGCTGGGAGGAGTTAAAGGGGAAAAAGTCTTTAAAAAATTTTTTTTGTTGTTAGATGCATCTGAGGCTTTTATTTTTTTAAGCGAGTACATCTTCATGCTGATGAAAAGAGAATACTGATCTCCAGTTGTCGCATTTTGTCTGGGTTGCAGATTCCTCCCTCTATTGCACCATTTTGTCAGTAACATCACACTTATCTAAGGGGCTGTCAACCAGTTTGATATTAGAGGAGGGGGAAGTACTGAACATTAGGAAATGAAAGGTTGAAAATTAATCTAATTAATGATTTCTGGGCCCCACTATCTTAATATTTAACTTCCTGCCTTATGTAACAAAGGTTTTCAAATGCATCTCCATTGTGAAGTGGATGCTGAAGTGTATGTACCTTGCATGTTACAGCTTTTAAGTGAAGCATTATTGATATTACAGGTCTATTCTTGAATAACTTAACCGGTTCTCAAAAGAGGACAATGCTGATACCTTTATATTTAAACCAGCCGTATTCACAAAGAAAGGTTGTTATTTTATTAAAGAAGAGAATTGGTTCTGAAATTGGGGATGCTGCTGTGGTCACGGTCTCTGTCTTCTAAGGTTTTAATGCTCAAATGATGTAAGTTGCACTGCTAATAGGTATCAGTATTGGAAATACCTTCAGTTCGTGTTATTTAGACTCTTCTAATTTTTCCATATTTCTAGTTCCACAGGAAAGCGAGTGACCTCGCACCTATATCCATAGCAACCAAGTGATGTCACACACAATGACACAGAGGCTGCAATGCACCTAAGGGCTGGTAGGGAGTGTGCAAATGGCATTTGTCCAGGGTAATGCAGAAATTAGCCGAGAAGCCAGGTGGAATCGAGCACTTCATATTCCACCAGAAAAGAATTAGTCCAAAAAATAAGGATTTCATTTACCCTTAGACATGCAGATATGTGACCTCTAGCCAGGCCTTGTTCCCCCTATTGCTGCTTTCTCACAAAAGTTTATAAGATGCTTTTTTTATATTTTTAAACATTCATCTCACTTATTTAGAATACTAGGCAGTGATAGAATAAAAGTAGAAATTTTAAGCAAGAATATATTTTATGATAACAGTACAGAGATAGGATGTATCCTCGAGTTTTTTTGCAGATAGTTTGGCAGATTTTAATAAAAATCTTAAAAAAATGACTTCCTACTGAGTCATTTTCAGTTACTATTAGGGAATGACAACCCGTTACAAAGCCTTTTAAGTCAAGGTTTGGGAAGTTTGTTTTTTTTCTAGATTTGTGCTTCTGCTCCTTTCCAGTATGCAGGAAAGAACAGTCTGTAAAATAAAAATCTTTTTTCAAATCTGCTTCCTGTGGCTTTAAGGAAATAGTCTCTGTGCCTCATTTTCCTCATCTGTAAAATGGGACAATACTTGAAAAGTTGTGCTGATTTGATAAGAAATGTAGTAGGTGTTCCAAAATGGCAACTACCTAAGACATTTTCTTCCTGTTTATAAAAGTCATCATGGAGAATTTTGGAAACTGCAGAGAAAGAACCCAGTCTTACCATTCAAGTGAGCTCTCCTTTAAGGCCAAAAATCATCCTGTTGATAGAAGGATTAAAATGTATTTGCATTTAATGAAATTATCCTAGTACTAAGACTATTGGGATCTGTGTAGAATGATAGTTCTACGTGGGTAACCAGGACAGAAATACTCTATTGTGCAGTATTTTGAAAGGAAGGAAATAGGAACGTTAGGCCTTTTAAGAGACATTTAGTCTTACATTGAAGGAGAGTGAACATCTAGCTGGTTCCTCCTACATGTTAGATGTGAGACAATACTGTCTTGTCCTTTGGCTTTTAATAGTCTCTTGAGAAGTTAATATTTTAAGTAGGCTACTGGTACTTGGGGGTGGGGGAAAGTTCAGGGCTACTAATTTTGTTGAAGTTACTGGGTTAAGCAGTTTAATTCAGCAAGGGGTGGGAGGGCAAAGATGGCAAAAGGCTATCGCAGTTTTTCTAAGTCTTTCCTAGTGGGATCAATGGACTTTAAAATTCTTACTATCTTAAACATTCCATTTTCCCACTAGCTCTTCCAGGAGGCCAGATCAATAACCATTATCACTAATGGAGTAATGGAACCTCTGTAGACTCTTCAGAGGTGGAGTTCTGCCAACCATTATTCTAAGTCATGTGGCTTGAATTGTTCTCTTCTTGGGGTTGGGAAGAATACAGATCATACAGCTTGCTTCTCATGTGTTAGCCTTCACAGTAACTGAAGCGGATGTTAAGTGCTTTCTCTGATAATTTTGGAAATCTCCTATGTGTTTTTTGAATTCTGCTGAGATACAACATGGCGGTAAATGCTCATCCTTACTGCAGTCCTGGATTAACTGCAGACCTTGGTTAGGATTTCATCTCTTGTACTCAGGGAAGCCTTATTTATTAAGCCAATCTCTAGATTATTGAAAAGAGTGGAGAAAACAATTGTGTTTTCATCGGTAAAAGTCGCATAACATAACTTGAACATGGTCACGTAAAATGTCAAGTGTGCGGTCGAGTGGCATTGGGTACATTCACAGTGCTGTGCTGCCATCACCTGTGTTCAAGAAATGAGAAAGTGGTTATTTTTAAAAAGTGATGCCGGTCTGGACTACAGCCGGCTGGAATTCAGCATGCCATTACCGATTCAGGAATGTGTCGATAATGGAGTGCCCACAACAGCTCACAGCCAGCGATAATTGTCTGTCCCTTTGTCTTCATTTTCAAGCGTCTGAACTGGAAAAAAGGGAATTAGCTTGAGCTAAGTTTGTGGTGTATTTCCACTTAAAAAGTTATGGAACTTAAATGCCGTGTAATGTTCACCCAAATAAATAAGAACAATTTACTTGAAATCTGAGCAAACTGTTAACTCTTTGGGGATTATGGAAATTTTGCTAGTGTTCCTGGGACTCGTTTTCAGCCCCATGGCTGGCTTTATTCTCAGGGATTTGCCCCCTGTGTGGTGGTACTTTCCTAACAAGGACGTTGCAGGGCTGAGACTGGGGAGCTGTTGGAGCATGAGGCTCTCAACTGATGGGATGCCAGCATAAGACATTCAGTACATTCCGGCTGTCAGGAGCGGAATGGGAGTGAATTACAGTTACTTTTCCCATCTTTGCTTGCTCCCAACCAATATCACCAGTCCTAACCTTTTTTTTTTTTTTTTTTTTTTTTAATTTTTTTGAGACTTGAGTCTCACTCTGTTGCCCAGGCTGCAGTGTGTGATCGATCTTGGCTCACTGCAACCCCTGCCTCCCGGGTTCAAGTGATTCTCCTGCCTCAGCCTCCTGAGTAGCTGGGATTGATTACAGGCGCCTGCCACCACTTGCGGCTAATTTTTGTACTTTTAGTAGAGATGGGGTTTCACCATGTTGGCCAGGCTAGTCTTGAACTCCTGACCTCAGGTGATCTACCCACCTCAGCCTCTCAAAATGCTGGGATTACAGGTGTGAGCCCCTGAGCCCGGCCTCAAGGACCACGTTCTATGTTTAATAGTCAAACAGAAATATCACTTTTAAGTGATATAAAACATTATCTTTTCTTTGCCTTTTTAAAGCTACTTAGTGTTTTAGCAGATAATTCCAGTCTATAATTATGTGTGCCTTTGGTTACTTGATTTTATTTTTTTTTGAGACAGGATCTCACTGTGTCACTGAGGCTGGAGCATGGGTTACTGCAGCCTCGACCTCACCTCCAGCCCCAGCCACCCAAGTAGCTGGCACTACAGGTGTATGCCACCACACCTGGCTAATTTTTTGTATTTTTTTTTGTAGAGATGGGGTGTCACCATGTTGTCCAGGCTGGTCTTGAGCTCCTCGACTCAAGCAGTCTGCCTGTCTTGCCTTCCCAAAGTGCTGGGATTACAGGTGTGAGCCACCACACCCAGCCTAGTCTGTAATTAGGAGTCAGCTAAATGTTGCCTTTCTATAAAGGCTACCAATACCAGCTGCCTTACAGCCGGCCTCTCCTCTCAGAATTATTTTTCTGTTTTCTTCCCCAAATTCCATTTTAGGTGTCAGCTATCATTTTAATTAACTACCGAACCATATTATTTTACTTAAAATTGGCATTTGTGGAAATCTTGAAAATGTTGATATTTTGCTAAATGAATTTATGAATTTGAGTGGTAGAAAATTAGTTACATGAAAACTGATTTTAAAAATTTCCTGGGCCGGGCGTGGTGGCTCATGCCTATAATCCCAGCACTTTGGGAGTCCGAGGTGGGCAGATCATGAGGTCAGGAGTTCAAGACCAGCCTGGCCAACATGGTGAAAACCCGTCTCTACTAAAGTTAAAAAAAAAAAAAAAAAATTAGCTGGGCTGTGGTGGCGTGTGCCTGTAATCCCAGCACTTTGGGAGGCTGAGGCAGATGGATCACCTGAGGTCAGGAGTTCGAGTCCAGCCTGGCCAACATGGTGAAAACCTGTTTCTACTAAAAATACCAAAAATTAGCTGGGAGCGGTGGCACGTGCCTGTAATCCCAGCTACTCGGGAGGCTGAGGCAGGAGAATCGCTTGAATGCGGGAGGTGGAGGTTTGCAGGGAGCTGAGATCTGCCACTGCACTCCAGCCTTGGGTGAGAGAGGAAGACTCTATCTCAAAAAAAAGAAAAATATTTCCCAAAGAAAGCTTTAGTTTTAAGGTAAATGGTTATGAATAATTGGTTTGCTGCCATGATTTTGTAGAAAAAAATAAAAATTGTAAATCTTAAAAGACCATGTGCGTGCGTCTTTTTTTTCTGTGTAAGAACTGGTGAAGTCTTAGCTAAATTGCTGCCTACATTTCACTTGTTAAGTGTGTGTCCTACAGATTTTTTTTTTTTTTAACCTGAGTTAAATACTACTAATATGTGCTACATGGCATAAGTTTTGGTTGTGGGCCAGGTGTAGTAACTCATGCTTATAATCCCAGCATTTTGGGAGGCGGAGGTAGGCGGATCACTTGAAGTCAGGAGTTCAAGACCAGCCTGCCCAACATGGTGAAACCCCATCTCTATTAAAGATACAAAAATTAACTGGGTGTGGTGTCGCATGCCTGTAATCCCAGCTACTGGAGAGGCTGAAGTAGATCGCTTGCACCCGGGAGGCAGAGGTTGCAGCGAGCTGAGATCGCACCACTGCACTCCAGTCTGGGTGACGTGCGAGACTCCATCTCAAAAAAAAAGAAAAATTTTTTTGGTTGTGAATAAATATGAAAGAGAGTGTTCTTACATATGTAGATTTTTAACATTAAAACAGTAAAATTATTCCAGGTAAACTCTTGGTCTTCTTAACCTTTGGAAGGGTACCTGTCTTTGGAGAGATCTAAAGCCCATCTTGGTAAGTGGGACCCAAGTACCCAGTTTTCCTCCGAGCAGGGGTTTCCAAGCTGGGAGTATGACAGTGATAGCAGTGGCCAGCTGAACATGTAATGATAGTAGCTGAAGAGGAGTTGCTGATCCACCCCCAACCTGCCGCAAGTTGAGTATAAAGAGCAGCTGCCGTGGGCAGGAAAGTCAGAAATGGCTAAGGGAGCGAGGGGAAGGCATTAAAAAGCCAGGTTTCTTTTGAAGCCATAGAGACGATTTACATTTCTTGAGCTATCTAAAAGGAATTACTCATGACTCTTAAGCTACCATATTTTAAAAAACCCAGACCTGGGAAACAAAGTTGCCTGTGGTGCTGGTTCTTTAAGATTGTAGGAATCAGCTTGAATTTTGGACTGTTTCTGTACAGTAAGGACTCCTTTAGTAGCAATGAGACATGAAGCCGTTGCTTGTCTTTGCAGTGGAGGTACAGCATGGTTAGTAGCCGTGCAGATGACTCCATATCCATTGGCAGTATGTTTTAATGTAAGGGCCTATCTGGCCTGGGTAGGCTATAAAGCAGTGGTCCCCAGCCTTTTTGGCACCAGGGTCCAGTTTCAAGGAAGACAGTTTTTCCATGGACTGGGTGGGGACTGAGGGGGAATAGTTTGGGGATGAATCAAGCACATTACATTTATTGTGCACTTTGTCATTGCTACATTGTAATATGTAATAAAATAGTTATATAACTCACTGTCATGTAGAATCAGTGGGAGCCATGAGCTTGTTTTCCCATAATTAGATGGTCCCATCTGGGGGTGATGGGAGACAGTGACAGATCATCGGGCATTAGAGTCTCATAAGGAGCGGGCAGGCTAGATCCCACGCATGCGCAGTTCATGGTAGGGTTGGCACTAATTGCAGAATCTGATGCCTCTGCTGATTTGACAGGAGGCAGAGCTCAGGTGGTAATTCTAGCAATGGGGAGTGACAGGCCTCCTGCTCTGCAGCCGGGTTCCTCACAGGCCACGGACCCATTGGGGACCCCTGCTATAGAGGATAGATGTTATTGTTTTCAAACCATACCCTAATAGGGCCTTGTATCTGTGTCATAGAAGTTAAGGCTGAAAGTTATTTTTCCTACTAGATTGAAAATTTCCGGGGAAAATGACAAGAATGATCACCATAATTCACATGCAGGGATATCATTGTGCCTTTTTCTACAGTTTATATTCTTTTGCACCTTTCACATGACATCATTTCAGTGATACTGTGTTGTTATTTTCAGTAGCTGAATAATCCTGTGGATATGTCATAATTTAATTATTATTATTATTTTTTTTTGAGACGGAGTTTCGCTCTTGTTACCCAAGCTGGAGTGCAATGGCGCGATCTTGGCTCACCGCAACCTCCGCCTCCTGGGTTCAGGCAATTCTCCTGCCTCAGCCTCCTGAGTAGCTGGGATTACAGGCACATGCCACCATGCCCAGCTGAATTTTTGTAATTTTAGTAGAGACGGGGTTTCACCATGTTGACCAGGATGGTCTCGATCTCTTGACCTCATGATCCACCCACCTCGGCCTCCCAAAGTGCTGGGATTACAGGCTTGAGCCACCGTGCCCGGCCTAATTATTTTTTTACTTAGCATTTAGGCTGTTTCCAGATTTACATTTGTAAATAATATTGATGTGGGTATAGGTGGTCCCTGATTTGAGATGGTTGAACTTAACGATTTTTCTTTTCTTTTCTTTCTTTCTTTCTTTTTTTTTCTTTTTTTTGAGTCTTGCTCTGTTGCCCAGGCTGGAGTGCAGTGATGCATTCTCAGCTCATTATCACCTCTGCCCCCTGAGTTCCAGTGATTCTCCTGCCTCAGCCTCCCAAGTAGCTGAAATTACAGTTGCATACCACCGTGCCCGGCTAATTTTTGTATTTTTAGTAGAAATGGGGTTTCCCCATGTTGGCCAGGCTGGTCTCCAACTCTTGGCCTCAAGTGGTCTGCCCTCGTTGGCCTCCCAAAGTGCTGGGATTGCAGGCGTGAGCCACCACAATCAGCCTTAACCTGATGATTTTTCGACTTTACCATGGTGCAAAAGCGGTAGGCATTCAGTAAGCTCCTCCACTTATGATGGGGTCACGTCCCTATAAACAAATTGTACCTCAAGGAGCATCTGGTGTCTTTCAGGCACGGTTCGTATGTTAAGATAGACCCAAGAGCGGAATTGCTGGAAAACCAGCTAAGAATAATGTTTAAGGTCCTCACTAGTACAGGGTATTCTTTTTCAAAAGTTTGAAAAATTTGTTTGAATAGGTATTACGTACACGTTTCATAATTAAAAAGGCATCCATCACCCTTTATCCTCTAGGAAGAACGATGAGGTTGAAGCTGGGGTAGGCTTGAGTGCTGGCTTATTTGAGCCAAGGCCCATCTCCCTTATGCTTCTTTGGAGTGACTCCCTTTTTTTTCCCCTTTGACTAATGGAAACTTTCAAACATACAAAATAAAGGCAAATAATACAGGAGCCCCCATACACTCAGCTTCACCATTTTTCAGCATATCGGCCAATCCTTTATCTCTATTTTCTTGCTTTTCTGGCCTCCTCAGGGATTATTTATCAATTTGGAAGATGGCTTTTGGGAGACAGAGTCTCGCTCTGTCACCCAGACTGGAGTGCAGTGGTTCAATCTTGGCACATTGCAACCTTGCCATCCTGGGTTCAAGCGATTCTCTTGCCTCAGCTTCTGAGCAGCTGGGATTATAGGTATCCACCATCATGCCTAGCTAATTTTTGTATTTTTAGTAGAGACAGGGTTTCTCCATTTTGGCCAGGCTGGTCTCAAACTCGCAACTCAGGTATTCCACCTGTCTCAGCCTCTGAGTGCTGGGGTCACAGGTGTGAGCCACTGGGCCTGGCCATGGCTTTTTATCTATATAAAATTACCCCTTGTTTACCACAGATGCTGAAATTACAAGCAGAATCTCTTTATATTCACATTTGGCAACCTCAAGTGTAGTTTCTTGCTTAAAGCATTTAATCTTGATGGCAGGTAACCTCATTTTTCCCCGATGTTAAGAGAAGGATTTCCCTTTAGTTGACACCCGAGCCTGGCCTCCCATCAGCTTTGGGTCATGAGTGGGTTGGGAAAAGACGGTGTGACACCTGTGGGTTATGGAAAGAATCCTGCTGTCATTACAGGACTCTTCTGGCCCCCTTTCTTGCTGCCTTTTTTTCTTTTTCTTTTTTAAATAGCAGTTCTATCAGTTTTGGGCATTATCACTAGTCTGATAAAAGAGCTAACATCCAGTTGATTTGTTGGGGACTATGTGAGTCAACTGATGTTGCTTTTGTTTGCCCTTGTTGCTTGCCAAGCACTTAAAAAATAGTTTTTGCCTTAAAAAAGGCAGTATACTATATGACTATGTGTATGTTTGTGTATGTATCTCTGTGTGTGTTTGTATTTGTGTGTGTATATATATATATACGTATATATGAATAAAATATACACTGTCTAGGCCAAGATAGCCTGAGTTTGAATCTATGTTCAGAAGTGTGGAATTAGTCTGAGCACAGTGGCTCTCCCTGTAATCCCAGCACTTTGGGAGACTGAGGCAGGATTGCTTGAGCCCAGGATTTTTGAGACCAGCCTGGGCAACTTAGTGAGACCCCCATCTCTGTATTTAAGAAAAGGAAAAAAGTGTGGAGCTGACCAATTTAATGATGTTTAGGTGAGTATGCTACTGATTTATTGATTTTTTTTTTTTTTTTTTTTTTTTTTGAGATGGAGTCTTACTCTGTCATCCAGGCTGGAGTGCAGTGGTGGCATGATCTCGGCTCACTACAACCTCTGCCTCCTGAGTTCAAGTGATTCTCCTGCCTCAGCCTCCGGAGTAGCTGGGATTACAGCACACACCATCACACCCAGCTATTTTTTGTATTTTTAATAGAGACCAGCTTTCACCGTGTTAGTCAGGCTGGTCTCAAACTCCTGACCTTAAGTGATCCACCTGCCTTGTATTTTTGTTTTTCATTGTTTGCTGGTT